CCGCCGCCCTTGGCCTCCGCTCAAGCAAGAGTTGCTTCGCCGTTAGAGAGCAGATCGTCCGCCAGCCGTCGTGCAGGAAAATCACGGCCAGCGGCATCGCCCAACAGAGCCTTTGATGATTACTTTGCCGAGGGTGAAGAGAAAAGTCGGGCGCAAGACTATGCGCCGTCACGGCATGGAACTCCACTACCTCCGCCCCCGAAGGCAGGAGTCTCGTCCTCTCATTCGGGGAGCCCTGCGCCGGAGGGATCACCAGGGCCTGCGCAGGAAGAGTAAGTAGCTTAGAGCAATCAGAAATCAATTTAATGTAGAGTATGACGAAATCAAATTATGTCGATCATCGCAAGCTACCTATTCCCATGTGCAAGCGTACGCCCATAGGTGTTCTTGTCAGGCCACCTACTTTATCACTGAACGACTCAAACAAAAGGAATCAATCCGGTTATGTCTTCGGATCTACGAGTTCTAAGCGTACATATGCAACAAATGAGTCCGCGCTATAGCCCCAAACAGCCGAGCTATATTTAGTGGCCCTTGCTCACCAGCTGCTCCAACTTCTTCCGGGTGTCACCAATCTTCTCCTCCATCATCTGGCGCGCCATTCCACTGTGCGCAATGCCAGTGTACCAGATGTGCTCCGCACGCTCACGGGCAGCCGAGTGCTTCTCTGCAAGGGCGGGGACCTTCTTCTCGTACTCCCAAACCAAGTCTCCGACATTTCGCATCGTCACGGGCAGAAGAGTGTAGGCCGCAGCAGTACCGAAAGCGAGCGGCGATGCAGTGCGGAGGAGGATGCCGCGGTTACGCGAGACAATCGAGCCAGCCATGGCGGCCACGACGACGTAGACACCGCCGGGCAGGAGACGCTCGCCGGACTCAGCAGAAGGTGCGAGCGAAGCAACGGTGTTGGTGAAGCAGTTTTCGATGTTGAGGGCCCGAGACAGGAAGTTGTTGAAACCCTGCTCTGCGGCAAGGGAGTGTGAGTAGAGGAAGAGGCGAGCTTGTCGGACCTGGGCGGTCAGGATGTCTGTCGGGGTGGGCGAAGAGGGAGCTGGTTGCGCAGCCGGCGCAGAGATCAGCTTGGAGGTGGCAGGCGCAGCAACCTGGGAGGGCTTGGAGTGTTCAGGAATGTCGGCTGGGAAGTCATCGTAGATAGGTTTCCGCTATATTGGGGAAACAGTCGTGTCAGACCAAGCCTTTCAGGCATTCAATAGAGCTAGGAATATATCTGGTCATACATTATCTCGGGGCTCTTCTGCGAATGCTGTCTTCTTAGGGTACAGAGCAATACCTCCCGCAAGGAGAGTGGCTGCGATCGGAGCCACAGCCCGCTGGGCACAAATCAGCATGGAAACGGGACATTGGGGAATCAATTGCATCCAACTTTGAAGCAGGCAATTATACAAAGGCATACCTGTTGCAACATCGGCCGGAATGACATCCTGAGGGTGTGGGGGGAGGGGAATGGGGGGGAGCTGGTAGTGAGGATGAAGCAAAGTCGTGTTGGAGCAAGACGGGAATTCTTCGGCTCGGCGGAACCTCCAGAAAACTCCGTCATTGCCCGTTCTCCTTGACTCTATGTTTCTTTGAATAGGGGATTTGTGAATTTACAATTTCCAATGATTTTAATCTGTTTTTGATACAGTATCTACAATGCTTCGCCCTTTGCGACGAACATGGACATGTCGCAAATGCCTACATCTGCGCCCTCAATATCGAGCCTTCGAGAGCGCCGCATCCTCTCCGTCAACATCGTTTGAGTACATTCCGGCCGATAACAGTGCACCAAGAAAAAAGACCGACGACCATACGCTACGCCGTGTTTTTGACTCCCAGCCCTTCTGGAAGGAGTTCTCCCAGCAGCGCACGACCACGGTCTCAAAGCAAGCCGGATTAGTCCAAAACCAATACCTGACAAGCCCCGAGGGCTTTAGGACATTCGCAAATGTCTCGCTGCAAAGGTGCCAGGCTATTGTAGCCAAGGTGCTTGCCGCCTCGACAGTTGAACAATACAGGGCCCTAGCACGAGACCTTGACCAACTGAGCGATCTCCTGTGTCGTGTCATCGATCTGTCCGATTTCATTCGAACTATTCACCCCGATCCGCGGATACAAGAAGCAGCCACGCAGGCGTGGGCTCTTATGTTTGAATATATGAACGTTTTGAACACAACCACGGGGCTTCATGAACAGCTCAACAAGGCCTTGAACAACCCCGATGTGACATCATACTGGACCGAGGCGGAACGGATCGTGGCACAGATCCTCAACAAGGATTTCTCGAACTCCGCAATTCATATGCCGCCCAATGTCAGGCAGCGGTTTGTGAATCTCTCGAATGATGTGAGCCAGTTAGGTTCCGATTTCATGAATGGCGCGGAGCCTGCAAGGTCCCAGGTGGTCTTTGGTGCCAACAGCCTCCAAGGATTGGATCCTATGGTAATCTCCAAAATCAAGCGGTGGAATAAGAAAGCGCCAGTTCCGACGATGGGGATTGTCCCTCGGCTTGCTCTACGGTCGGTGCATGAAGAAGAAGTTCGCAAAGACATCTATCTCGCCACTCGAACATCCAGCAAGCGCCAGCTTCAGAGGTTGGAGGAACTTCTAATGAAGAGGGCAGAGTTGGCACAACTTACGGGCTACAATAGCTTTGCGCACATGACTCTCGGTGACAAAATGGCCAAGACCCCCGAAGCGGTATCGAACTTCCTGACTTCGCTTGTATCAAGCAACCAGGGTCCAGTCCGGGAAGAATTATCTAAGCTACAGGACTTGAAGGGAGGCTCCTCCCTACAGCCCTGGGACCACGCATACTACGTTCACAGGCGTGTTCTAGCGTATTCCCAAGCTCGTCGGTCTCGTCACATGGGTGTTGTCAATGAGTTCTTTTCTTTGGGAACAGTGATGCAAGGTCTCTCTCGACTCTTTGACCGTTTGTATGGTGTTCGTCTAGTTCCTCATGAAGCATCTCCCGGCGAGACTTGGCATCCCGACGTTCGTCGATTGGATGTAGTGGATGAATCGGAGAATCATATTGCAGTCGTCTACTGTGACTTGTTTACACGACCGAGCAAACACCCAAATCCGGCTCACTTCACTCTGCGCTGCTCGCGCGAAATCTCTGCAGAGGAGGTCGCCGAGTGTGCCTCTATGAACGAATCGGCGCACCCGAATGACGGCATGGCCACTGGTGTAGATCCACAAACTAAAACCCTGCGCCAACTCCCAACCATTGCCCTCGTCTGTGATTTCCAGGAACCTCAGGCCAACGGCACTGGCCAGCCAACTCTCTTGAGTGAGCAGAGTGTTCGCACCTTGTTCCATGAGATGGGCCACGCTGTCCACTCCATCCTGGGCCAGACGCCCCTGCAGTCTATCTCCGGTACTAGATGCGCCACGGACTTCGCCGAGCTTCCCTCCGTATTGATGGAGAGCTTTGCGACTGCGCCAGAGGTACTGAGACTCTACGCGCGACACTGGAAGACCGACCAGCCTCTATCTGAGAGCATGATGCAGAGCATGGAGCTAGACCGCACTGCGCATGGGTCTATCTATGGTGCCGTTGAGAATGAAGCACAGATCCTCATGGCACTCGTTGATCAGGCATATCACTCGATCCCAGCTGAAATCAGCTCGGCTGGCATTGATTCCACCGATATCTATCATCGAGTCTTTTCCGAGTATTCTAGTCTGCCCGACCCAAGTAATGTCCAGCCACGTACCTCTTGGCAGGGCTTCTTCGGCCACTTGTATGGCTACGGGGCCACGTACTACAGCTATATCTTTGACCGCGCAATCGCGAACAAACTCTGGCAGGATGTCTTTTTGTCTGGTCAGGCCGCAACTGATCGAGCCGCCGGTGAGCGATACAAGAACGAAGTCCTTCGCTGGGGTGGTGGCCGCAATGGCTGGCAATGTGTGGCTGGCGTCCTGGGGAGCAGTAACCCCTCCAATACCAACGGACGGTTGGCTGAAGGTGGTGATGAGGCTATGCGTGAGGTTGGTCGCTGGGGCCTCGGGCGCGAAGGTGTGTCTGGGTAATCTGACTGTGTACTTTTATTGCTTTCTAGTACATGTATACCTGCCTTAAAGGGCTTTGTAAATAATCAAAACATAGGTTCATGATATGATTTGGTCTATTCTTTTCAAGTAAACTCTTGGGGCTTGAACCAGGCTCACTGTGGACAAAGGTGGACAAAGGTGGACAAGTGAGTATCATTGAATACGGCCGCACGGACATCACCACATGCTATCGTGCATCTGAACCATAACCAATAGCCTTAGGTAATCCAATGATCACCGGTGTGCATTGGACGCAACGTCTGAGACTAGGCTCCTGAGTAGCGCCGTTGGGGGCTGATGGCGGGGTGACTTAGAATGTCTCACTGCCCCTTTGTCTTGTATGTTGTAGATGTTTACTATTCACAGGTGTAGATATTATGCATGCTTGAAAAGCCTGCAGACATAGATTATGTTTCTTAGGACATAGACAAAGTATGACATTCCCTAAACCTAAGGACCTTATCGCGTGTTTACAATCTATTCGGTGCCTCTGACGTCCTTAATTCTGCATGATGGCTTGCTGTAGGCCACCCTACTAGCAGGCGAACTGTGATGTTGGATATTGCCTAGGCACATGCTCTTTATCCATTGTAGGGTCGTATTCTAGCCCGAATTCCCCTTAATACTCAGATCTGTCCCTGGGATGAATCCTATTAATACAGAGTACCTTCAAGTCTGAGCACCTAGGCCTTCTTATCTTCTTATACCTGCATTCAATCTGCAATAGAAGTACGGATTACCCCCATATATACTTCAGGATTCACCGCTATCTTTTTCTCATTATATGGGATATTACAATTTCAACTTCCTTTCATTCAACCCCTGCTCAATCAAATACCGTTTGCTGCGTTTGGAGAAATTATTTATTCCCAGCCTGACCTTCGCTCCTCTTCTCTCTCAATCACCATTTAAATCTGTCATCGGTCACTCACACCAAAATGCCTAATGTCCTCATTGTCAATGACGATGCTTCCTTCGCTTCAAGCAATACTTTCTCTACTCAAGATTCGATAGAGCAACCACGACCATCCCTCCGTCGAAGAAACACTGTTTCTCGGCTCACAAGAAGGGTGTCGAAGAAAATATCTCAAACAATCCTCGGGGCCGGGGTTCAAGAACATCAGCTGAGCGAAAAGAATCTCAAAACCCTCAACAACACAACAAATATTGACTCACACGACCCACGCTCGCCAACTTATCAGGTTAATGAGATTAAAATATACGACGCTATTCACGAAGACATCGAGGAGGAACACCCTACTTTCGACGTGGAAGCAGCGAGAGAGATGCGTCTTCAACAGTCATACGCTGCCTTTTGTCAAAACTTTACGCTATCAGGAACAACAACGACGAGTAGGAAGTTCGACCTATCGATGGGAATGGAGTGGGCAGACGAACATACACAGTCCTCGCACACGGATCAAACTCTCAAAGACAACGACAGATCTGAACTTTTAGGTTCTCATGCCAGTCCCGAGCATATAAACGTCCATTCGAGGCTCAGACCAGACACCGTCGCATTTCCCATATCATTCCCATCTACAGATCTTGATAACACACCCATATCACACTCAGCAACTGTGGAGAAATTCTCTTCATTGCCAGCCACAAAAACATCAAAGGTCGAGAAAGAGCTCAAAATAACGCCTAACTCCAATTGCCCCCAACCACCGCCTCACATCATCACTCCTATTGTTTGGATGGACATGCAACGCGACGAGCGAGAACGCAAGGCATCTCGACGGCAAAGTCTCCTAAATACGTTTCAGTCATGGTTTACGACAAGCCAGCCCTCTTTGGGGCGGAGGTATGAAGTCGTTGAATAACGGGCTTTCCTGTCAACGGGTTCTACTGGCAAACAAAGCAAAACAGGTTTGAAATATTGGATGGCTTTCAAATTCGCTGGTTGTATTTTAAACGGACACACAATCCATCGTTGCTTTTTGCTTTAAAACATGTCAATATTACATAGCTGGATCCCGCATGGGCGATCTCATCTCAACCTCCAAACACCTAGCTTTCAGCGGCATATGCGCCAATCTTGACAGTTGTGGGATTCGGGGGTCTTTGTGTTTGGTTTGACCCCGTGAGGCTTATCATCGTATCGTATAAGATATGTTGGAGACATCTACTCATGAATATGAGTCTGCAGAAAGGCACGAATTTTTAGAGACCAAAGCAGACGGACTAATTAGGTACCTAATCATACCTTTTTTTGGCTATTCGATGTGATATTTACCAAAGGAAGTGTCTTGGGCATATAAAAGAAATATCGTTAGAGCGGTTCATCGGAGCTAACATACGCCACTATAAAATACTAGTCAGACAGTCGTAATCACGCTCGGGAAATCTGACCCTTGTACACCACCATCTAGGTAGCCTTCAGAGGATTGGGGACGGCTCACCGTTCATCTCGGAATGTCGGACTCTACAACCAGTCCGAGATCATATGACGGTAGTTACCACTGCAGACAGTCAGTTTCACGATGCAGGTCTTATCACCTATAACAGAGTAACCCGTCAAATTATGCAACTGTATTGGGTACGGTTCCATCTGAGGGCACAGATAATATATTAAAAAAAATGGTAAAAAGGCACAAGAGGCAAAAAACGGCGAAAATGTCAGTCTGTGATAAAACACATTTCCACGCATGCCCAATGTGTAATATCAACAGCTATCTCCTAGTCTACATCCCAAAGGCCAGTCTGACCTGCCATTCCGATGGGGTTGTCAAAGTTTGCAACATACCTCCCGCTTGCATTGGGTGTCTTTAATAACCTCTCCTCGAATCTTTTGAAAAGAAATACCATTTCGAGTCCAAAAATTAACCCCATGGCTTTTACCCCAAGTGCGGAAGCAGCACGTATCGCTCGAGCTGACGGTGAAGAGCACGATGGTATCTTCGGTATCAGTTTGTACGATTGGGGGATACGATTCCATCCCTTCTGATATACAAACAGGTACGAACTTCGAAGGGTGTGGGTCTTATATCATTATTGAAATCGAACGAGTCAATTGGAATAGTGCCAAGGTTGGTTTGAAGAGTCTGCTTTCGTTGGAACGCCGTACCTTTTTAGGCATTCGAGGGCATATGCAATCGTCTATCTAATTCTTGTGAAAGTAGTAGATAGGCTTAATACTTACTTTCTTTGCACTATGCCTTTAGGTATTTGCAAGGGACCTTCCAGATGAAGATCTCACTTAATTTGGCCCATTTTAGACGAATTGTGGCAATACACGCTAGACAGTGAGTGAGGGTGGCCGGGGGTAAACTGTATAGAAAAAAAAATCATTTTATGGTGATGTGATTGTGAATTCTAAAAATATTTAAATGAATTAATTGAAAATCAGTGGTTAATTGTAACGGTTATTTATATATGCCAACCATAAAGGGTTCAAAATATATAATCAGCCAAAATATCAAATAGGAAATAAATAGGTCAAAACATAACAGTTACTAAAGAAGTGCACGCGATCAGAAAAAAACCCAGCAACAACATCTAGAATTTACAAAATGACACCGAAAACATCCATGGAGTAGAGGGGAGTTATTGAGTATATGTAGGCAAAGACAAAAAGCCAAGGACATCCATCCATGGACAAAGACATCCCTTGGTGAAAAAGAAATATCTTTGAAAGAAATCGAAAAAGAAATCAAGCTTAATTTGACAAAATAAAAAAAATCGTCTAATTGTTTATCTTTGGAGAAGATTTGATTGATATAAAGCAAAGAACCAAAAAAAATGGACTTGCAGGGAATCGAACCCTGGACCACTCCCATGCTAAGGGAGTATTATACCACTAAACCACAAGCCCAATTTGATGGAAGAAGGATTCATTTAATGCTTTATGAAGGAAAAACATAGCCACCCGACTATAGGGCTACGACTATCAATGATATATGATAGACATGCTTAGTAGATAACAATAGCAGATAACAATCTCAATTCTAAACATCGAGTGACAACTTTCTCCCACACAAATGGCACTCATGAATCATAAACAGACTGGAACAGCAATGATATGCCAGGCGTGATGCAAGGAGAGGCCGATCCCAATTGTTGCAGCATTGTACTGTTTTAGAAGATGAAACAAATATTTCAAATTTGCTACCAAAGAGTATATCCATATGGGGTGTGTACTGGTCGATCCGAAGGCAGAATGACAGTGCGTAAACTGAGTATGTACATCGTGCAGAGGAAGAAACAGCCTTTACAAAACGGACTCTCGCGAAGAACCAGACATGTTTCGGTTCTCTGTCGCATGAAGTGAAAGTCACCTAGAAAAGGGGGTAATGGAGGAATGGAAAAATCGGATAAGGAAAAAAAAAGTTATCGAACATTCCGAATCGCTAAAACTGACAGATGAAGCATGATGTGAAAAACACCCCGAAACACAAGGGGGGGGGGGGAAGGCCCGCTGCGTGCAAACCATAACTGATAGATCGAATATCCTCATGCACTGCTTCCAAATCGGTTCGTAAACCAATTGGTGAATCCCCCTCCACTGCTACCCTCACCCCGACTAGACCGTCGGTTACTGGATTGCCCTCCCTCTGGAGTAGGGGACCGACGGGGTGAAATCCGTGGGGAAATTCGACTCGGCAATGAAGATAACGAGGATCGACCGCTGCGTACAGTGCGAGCAGAACTGAGACGCCGATGGGATCTAGGCTGCTCGGGACTATCCTGGATCACTACCGGATTCTCACAGGTGCCTTCTCCGCCCCTATGGAATATGCCATCAGCTGAAAGTTCTCGGTTTGTGCACACGACTCACATAGTCTTACGTTATGTTTGAATTGATGCTGCGCCGGCAATGCGGACAAGTATCATGTTGGGTCAGCCAAGCATGGATGCAGTTGAAATGAAACCAGTGCGTGCATGGTAACATGGTGACTTCCAAACCGAGTTCGACGTTATCCATACAAATTGAACACACTGCTTTCCCCTCAGATCCCATCATCTCTTCATTGACCATTTTCTTCGGCAAAGCTTGGACAGCAGCATCAGATGCTGGCGGTGCCGCAGTGCCGGTCCCTCCAGTATTCTCAACCAGTTGTGTGATGACTCGATCGAGCTCCTCCTGAGAATATACCGCATCCTCACTTCGACTCATGTTGAGAATGGCTGACAATATTGAAAGAGCATGTGGGCTTGCTGGGCCACCACGAGCTCCACGTGCGCGTCGGGTAGTTTGTAACCCAATGTCAGCGCGAATGGCGTCCATGATTCTATATTCTGATTAGTCTACCGACAATCAAACAGGTAAAGCCCTCACATACTCAGCTAGGTCAGTCGGATTGCGGTTATTAGGTTGTGGGGCATCTGCATTGCGGGGAGACAGGCCTGGGTGATGGCCCGTGAGGTGGTCGTCCTCGAGCCAGTCGGGAGAGGTAGAGGATTGAGCGTGGAAGGGATCATCTCCAAATCCCCTGTATCCACGAGGGTTTGGCTCCATTAAACTTTGTAACATTGTATCAAAGCTTTGCATCATCATTGGAACCATAGGGTTCGGGCCATTGTTGCGCTGACCAGAAGGCATTCCGGTATCAAGCGTCGCGCTGCTGAATGAGAAACGTCCATCGGGCGATCTATATGTGCGCAAGGAGGAGTATGGAGGAATGCCCCCTCCAAGAAGCTCAGGACCTTGCCCTTCTTGTGTGTCTCGTTCCCATGCGTTGTGATCTATCCACGGGTTGACGCGTGGAGGCGACGAGGAATCGGCACGGTGTGAAGGGGAACCTTCCGAAGACTGCTCCGGGGGGATTTCAATCTAGAGGAAAAGAGAGTGTTAGGATGAAATAAACTGAGAAAGAAGGCATTCACTGTACTATTTCTGTGAACTCAGATTCACAATGCGGACATGTCAAACCACCATCTTTGAGCCAAACACCGCCACAGGCATGGCAGAACATGCGATCGCCGCTGTCCATGTCGCGATATAGACTGATAATCACTTAGGGGGTTATAAAATGTTGTACAACGCAGACGTTAGGATTAAAGCTGATAGAATCGATAAGCGCCAGAACAGTCACGAGTCATGACCTTATCTGCGGGGAGGTCACAGTTGGTTAGATGGACATAATTTCATTGCACAAAGAAGAAAGGAAGAGAGAGAGAGAGAGTAATGTATCACAAAGGCAAAGCTAACGTGTTGGAAAAAAGTATGACTGGAGTGTGATTAATTTGGGAGAGGTCGGTTGGAGGCAATGACGTTGATCAGCAATCGCCTCCATAAGGCAAAGGGACCCGTTGACTTATACTCAAGATTACATGTATGGAACAAAGAACACACACGTTTCATGTCGACGAAAATAGATGATGTATCAGGCAGCCTTATTTTCTCTTATTTAACGGGGTTTCATACCGGGGAATTTATCGCGACGCAAGGGCAAGGAGGTGTGGTATATCGCCTTGGGCTATTATTTGTTTATTTTTTTAAAAAATAAAAACCAAAAATGGCTCTTTTTACATTGGAAAAAAAAATTGAGACTCAATCATATATGATCAATTCATAAAGAAACTAGTACAAAGTATATAATAAACAGCAATAAATGTCACTTTTTCCATGCAGGGATACAAATTCCTCGCGATCATCTCATCCCTGTCAGATGCAGTGGGGGAGTGAACTGAAAAAAGAGACAGCAATGGATATCACAGGAATGATGCAATTGAACCGGTAACCTCAAACACCCCGATGAAAAGACGGATGACAATCTCGAGCAGTTTACTTAATCTCGAGGAGCTTGACGTCGAAGATAAGCTTGGAGTTGCCGGGAATACCGGGGAGGGCCTTCTTGCCGTATGCGAGAGCAGGAGGGAT